GCAGCGGCAACAGCAGAGATGCTGAAGAATTTATATCGGCAAAATGACGGTCAAAAATGTTAAGGGCCAAAAGCGTGTCTGGAAGTTCAAATACGAGCAACAAGCAGGAAGCAGAGGCAGTCATGGCATGCCACTCAGACGACTTGGAGTCGCCCGGCATGGCGAATAGAAGATGGGACGAAGCATCTACCTCTGCCTGCTGGCTACTTGTGCGGCATGGCAAGGTGAGGCCTTCGTCTCCAGCTTCTCTTCATGCCACTTCAGCTTCAAGCAATCGTCGCCTCCTCCCTGGACTCCCTGGACTCCACTGCACTTCACTCCTATTCCTCTCTAAGTCCAACCCGTCGTCGTGTGTTTTTGCGGCTTGTGGATGTTGTTGCCCTTTTTGAAATTTATCTAAGCTTCGCTTGACACTTGTCGTCGTTGTCGTCGCATTCGTTGTTGCCGTCATCGGTTCTGCAACCGTATCGGTGTGTACTCGTACGTATACGTTAGCTGGCAGCCTGGAAATTTCCGCAATCTCGCGCCTTTAAAGTTCCAGCAGTTATCATTAGAGAACGAGCCCGGGCTTCAATTTTCCACCGATTCAACTTAGCCACACACTCGGTCCATGTGTTGCCTTTGTTCCCCTTTGCTGCCTCTGCTGTTCCCCGTCCCGAGTGTTATTGTAACCTGCAGGTCCACATCTGGAGGCGATTCTCCTCCCTTTTTCTTTAGTACGAGTAGTTGACGCGCGCCTTTTTTTGCGCTTTCAGCCATAACTGGCAATTGCACGAACTATTTGCTGCCTTTACCCAGGCCTTAAGAACTGTCGAGGGCTTTAACGTGAGTCCAGAATTCAGAATCCAGAATGCAGACGCTGCGGTACATCTATTGAGGCATATCTGTACATCAAGTCAAGGGAAATGCACCTAAAACGATAAAGATTGTTTTTTCTAACTAAATGATATTCATTTTAAATAATATTATTAATTATATTTGATTGGAAAAGTCGGCATTAGTGCCAACTCGTTATCTGAGTAGTGACTTTTGTGGCCTTCTACAAATAGTTTTCCAAAACGATGCATCGAGTGTAAAAGTTCCAAAATATTATTCTGAATTATCTTTCAACTCATTTGATTTTCAAGGTTTTTGTTCTAACTCTTGTAATCCTACAATCACCTGTACTATTTGACAACTCCATGGTAGTCGAGATGTTTATAGAAGTTAGTTCTCTACCGGAAATCAAGCCATCTTCCTTCCACCTATACACACAATTGAATATAATGAAAATAAAAGGTATAAGAAATCGTAGGAGAATGATTCGTTATCTAACGAACCCACACTAGGAATGACTTTCCTCCATCCACCCTCTACTCTTGGGCAAATCAATTGATCTCGACGAACTGGCAGCATGTCTATGGGACTTATCGCTATATCTCATGAACACCTTATTTACTTTTAATGAAGTGCTGTATACTGAGTGGATGTATCCTTCTGCGAATAGTTTGGGCGGTAATTGCTTCGCAATGACTATTGAAACGGTTCTGGGGGCAATCCTCGTCGGATCGTCGGCTCGTCGGCGTCCTAGTCGCTGGCCAATGGAGCTGTCAATTTGTTGCACCACTTAATAAGCAGCCCATAAATGCAATATGTAACGCATTTCCTTCAGTGCCAGTGCCAATTTGAGGAACTCAACTCAATCCAGGGTCTGGCAGATGCGTTGCGGCAATTTGTTGCGCCCAAATGCATGCCTCATGCCACGCCACATAGAAACCCCCTGTACGGAAACGGAGATGGGGCATGCCCTTTTTGGGGCCCCTGCAAATCATTGCGCACGCTGCGATGCCGAGATTATCTTGTCCGATTGCGTTTACAAGGCATTGGTGGCCTGGAGCTGGAGCTGGAACTGCCCGGACTCCGGCGTGTTCTCTCGCCTGGCCATAAACGCAATTAGAAGAACAATTGTTAGACATGCAAAGCGGGGACGTTGCCAGCGTCCAGGGCCCTTTCTGGGCAGCCTCGATTGCCATCTCTGGCTGTGGTCATGCGGCCATGGAGACAGGGATAGGGATTGGATAGCGACTGGGATAGGGACAGGGCAGACTTAGGGACACCGTCTGTGTGCGTGTTTATAACTCAAATGAGCAATTACCTTACAAAGGATTTGGCGAGAGCGCTGTGCTGACTGGACGGACGTCGTCGTTGTTGTCGTGGCTTTTAATAAACTCCTCACGATGGACACAGCTTGAAGCCTAGATTGGTGCACAGTGGTTAGGTGTCCATGAAATATATCCCTCAGTTGATAGTTGCCTCTCGGAAGTACTCAAACACAATGCCTTAAAAGAGACTTCATATGTAAAACAGTTAACACTAGGTGAAAGCCCTCAGGGCACTCGCTTCGCAGGCCCCGGCAATTGACTCTTTATTCAATTAATTTCAATTGTTTTGATATTTAAAATTCCCTATTTACTTTTTCCATAGAATGAGAACCACTGTGCAGTGTTAAAGTGTCTCGCGCTGGCGTTGACTTGTGAGAAAGCTGGGCCGGTCGCGGAAGAAATATTTTAGAATTTTCACAACACGTCACACGACAGCAGCAGAGGGGGCCTCAGGATGGCGATTGAGGCATGCATGGGTTCTGCTCGGGCCCTTGGCCACGTTGAGGGATTAGGAAATGGAGAGGCAGCTTGGGCAGGAGATGGAGTTGGAGTTGCAGTTGGAGTTGGAGCTGGAGATGGAGATGATGCTGGAGAGCGAGAGCCGGCACCCGCACGCTCATGGCTTGTATTTGGCTTGTTAACTGCGCTTGTTTACTTTATGTTAAATTAAGTTGAGAATCGTGCAATGCAAATCAGTGCGCAGCAGTACCATTCGGAAAAGTCTGAGTCCCCGAAGACGGAGAAGGAGCGTAGAAGGAGACCGAAGTCCAAGCTGGAGCCGCATACAATTTTCCAACTCTTTTCTAATTGCCAAGACAAAGCAAGAACGAATGCGGCGGAGAAGAGTTCACTGATTGCTTTGCATACGAAATGAATTAATGTCATTGAGGAAGAAGATGTTCCCGGCTGCCTGTTGCCACTGCCACTGCCAGTCCGATTCTGCAGTAGCCGCAGACAAACACACAACTCTCGAACTCTGCATCTCTGACAGAATCTTCTCTTGTTTTTCAACCCAGGTAATCGACTAGTGCAAGGGTATGTTGTTGTTGTGGACATTTAGGTAACAAATCAGTGACAAAATTCGATAGTATACTCGTATTTCGATACACATCTTGAAACATACGAATAAAGAAATTCCCCTTTGTAAGCTTTGCTAGCTGTTTCCTTTTCATATTTATATGTTATTCTTATTCTAAAAGGTATCTTACAGTCCCAAGATTTCTGGTCGAGCTCGTCGGCCCAGCGGTCTGAACTGCTACTAATTTGAATTACAGTCTACCGGCAATACTCAAGACTGGCTTCCTTTTCATTATCTAAGGGTCTAAGACTTCATTGCTGGCAGTTATCAAATGCAGCACATCAGGCCAGAGACACAAACAGACTCTAAGACAGAGTCAGAGTCAGAGTCACAGTTGGAGTTGGAGTCAGAGACAGATGTCTGCATGACTCCTAGAAGAAAACTGGCCTCTCTTCCTTCTCAGCTGGAGTCGTAGTCGCAGTCGTAACCGTCTCCGTCTCCGTCACACACAATAATTAAAATCGTTGCTTTTGCCATGATTTCTCCTACCGCTGAGATAAGTGCAACAGCAACTGCAACTGCAACTTCAGCTTAGATAATGCAACAGTATTCCGTTCTTATGCAAATTTATGAGTGACTGACTGACTGACTCTGACGGGCAACTGCCACTGGGCTGAGGTTGGGGCTGGTGCCGAGTGAATGGCATGCCATTCAACCTTTCTAAATTGTGTTATAGTTTGGCATACCCCAGAGTAAAGGTGCTGCTTCCAGTCTTTTGTTTGTCTGGTTTAATGATCTGCATATTCCTCCATATTCTATATGCCAGAACTACTGCGTGTTTGTCACTCAGACACGCCTGTTGGAAATTCTGAAAAAATTCTCGTTGTAAGCATAATGGCCATATTGAAATCTTTGTTCTACCATCTTTGGTTTGTGCCTCTGCTTGGTATTACAATTGCAACAATTATATCTGGTTCATCATTTGACAAAGCGAACTACTTTGCATACTCGTACTTGTGATGCTGCTCGTGATTAATTTATGCCACCAACAAATGAGTTTGTTTCACATTTTAGGCATTTGATCGGCTCTCCACGCTATAAATAAATAAATTATGCAAATGCTGGCAAAAAGAAACGAATTTCTAAAAGCATTTACGTGTGCCCAAGTTTTGCATAAGAGTAAAAGTTATTTATGTGTGGAAAGAAACGAATCAGAGCCTTAATGAATGAAGGGGAACAAAGTCGTGAGATATTAGAAAAGTGGATAAATTGCAGTCTACACATGAATCACTTTTAATGGGTTCTGGACAGATTTATGATTACCGTAGTGGGTCAGGTCAACTGAACAAACTGCCAAAAGACTTAAGTGTGGAATTTTGAGTACCTAAAAAATAGTAGTACCTTGAAAAATACCCAACATGCTTTCTTCTTTTTCCAGTTTCTGTCGTTGCCTTAATTTTTTGCATTAAAAAATAACCAATTTGTTGCATGAGGAGCATGAAAGTGCCACATGTTGCATAATTTCAAGCTGCACGCAATTTATCAGCGCGCCTCTTTGGTTCTTTTATTAATTTATATTTTTCGGGCGTTTGGATGAACGACACTGGGGCCTGGGGCAAATCAATTTCGGTATCCACAAGGGAGGGAGGCCTCGAAGACGACATTCCATATACAAGAAATATGATCGAACAACAGGCAGCAGGAACGGGCATAAGGTGCTGGAGCTGGAGGAATAACTTGTCTCTGGATCGGTTTCGGTTGCGTTTTGTAAATTATGCCGAAAAGAAGGTTTGCCCTGACCAAAAAGTCTTATAAATTATTTCCATTCCATCCTGCGACAGGGGAACGGCAGTAGCGTGAAAGCGAGCGTTTGCCTCCGCTTAATGATGATACCGGATAACCAGCAATTAAAGGATATTTATGCTGCAATGTGCGCCACATCGCAATTCCATTGCTTGCCAATGCCAGTAGAAAGGAACACTCGATGTCGAGTCGATGGCCCACTCATCGGCAGAGTGTATTTTTGCCCGATCTGCTGGGTCAGAGGCGCTGGAGCCACCAGAGCCTCAAAGTCGATGACGATGGCTGTGCCTAAGCCTCTCCAGATGCGCATTAAAAGTCCATTAAAAAAACAACGGGTGGCAGGCATCTTGGTGGTAGTGGTGGCGTTTGCTCCACTTTCATGAATATGCAAACCACTAAACGAAAAATACGGGCACGTAACCGAAGATTGGTTACTCTTGAGTAAGTGAATTCATTTAGTATTTTTATTAAGTAGATGTATATCTCTCTATATCTCTCTCTAGCGTTCGAGTCAATTTACGATACATTGGTCTTACATTTTCCCAAGAGAATTTGAACTTTCCTTCCAATAATTAACCCAACATCTATTTTATTTTATTATAATAAAAGAAAGATCACTTTATTCCCCATCTATTAGAATGATTCTCGGTTTTGATGACCCAATTTCGGGTAAAGTATTTTTACTCAACCTTTTAGGGAAGTGACCATAAAAAGTTTATTTTCCATTTCGGCAAATTATTCTCGATGAAAATGATGATTTGTACAGAGCCAAAAATACAAACAAAATACAAAATCAACTTAAGAGCTGAGAAACTGAGGGGAGGAGAGGGAGGGCTTGAGCGTGTGTGCCTGCCTCGCTATAAAGTGTTATGCAAATAAGTCGCCGCGTTGTCAGATCGGGCATTGGCGCCGTCAAACAAAGAAAGCGGAGAAAGAAAGAAAGAAGCGCGCTGCTTATACAAGCCCAATGAAACATTCATATTTTTAGTTTTATTAAATCTGCGAGCTCGAACGAGATCTCGATCTTCTCCGATCTTGAAGATGGTATAAGTAGCCCACGGTAGGCAAACAACGCCGTCACTTTCTTCAGAAGTTTACTCCAGACAAGATGCGTTGTTACCTGGCCCTGCCGCTCCTGCTGCTGGGCTGCAGCCTGGCTTTGGCCCAATACCAATACCAGGGCCCACAGCAGACGCTGTCCCAACAATTTGCCGATGTGTTGGATGTGGGTGTGGAGGATCCAGCCGGTGTGAAGGCTGTGCGCCCGGGAAAGCAGCGAAACCAGTGCACTGCTAAGCAGAATTGCTGTAAGTTTCCCACATTCGGAACAAGGAGAGGGCAAGGGATATAATTATCTTCGACTTTCCAGTCTGCGGCACTCCCAATGTCAATCGCATTGTGGGCGGTCAGCAGGTGCGTTCCAACAAGTATCCGTGGACCGCACAGCTGGTCAAGGGTCGCCACTACCCGCGTCTCTTCTGCGGTGGCTCCCTAATCAACGATCGGTATGTCCTGACGGCGGCTCACTGCGTCCATGGAAACCGGGACCAGATCACCATTCGCCTGCTCCAGATCGATAGATCCTCCCGGGACCCCGGCATTGTGCGCAAGGTTGTCCAGACCACGATCCATCCCAACTACGATCCTAACCGCATTGTGAATGATGTTGCCTTGTTGAAGCTGGAGTCTCCAGTGCCACTCACAGGAAACATGCGCCCCGTCTGCCTGCCAGAGGCCAATCACAACTTTGATGGAAAGACTGTGAGTCGGAGATCTAATACAGGACCATATTTTGGGTTAACTTCTCTATCGATCTTTCCTCTTAGGCTGTTGTCGCCGGCTGGGGTCTGATCAAGGAGGGTGGCGTCACCTCCAACTACCTGCAGGAGGTGAGTGTGCCCGTGATCAGCAATCAGCAGTGCCGTACCACACGCTATAAGGACAAGATTGCCGAGGTAATGCTTTGTGCCGGCCTGGTCCAGTCGGGCGGCAAGGATGCCTGCCAAGGCGATAGCGGTGGCCCACTGATCGTCAACGAAGGTCGCTACAAGCTGGCCGGAGTCGTTTCCTTCGGCTATGGTTGTGCCCAGAAGAATGCTCCTGGCGTCTATGCCAGAGTCAGCAAGTTCCTGGACTGGATACAGAAGAACACCCTCGATGGTTGCTATTGCCAGAGCTAAACAGACTTGTCATCGATTTATACACCATTCCATCACTTGCATTCGCATTACTGGCATTCATAAATTATTCTAAATTATTTCAAAGTAATGTTCATCAAATAAACCATGGATATATACAGAACATCTGTTAAAGTGTTCAGAAGTTATAGCTAGTCATGGAAGTACATCCTCAATTCCTGATTTACTTTACTCCTATAACCGTCTCCTTGGACTTCAACGATTCTTATCGGGAACATTCCTGGTGCATTACCCCAGCACAGATTTGGGGAGAACTCTTTCGGACCCACCCTCGTACTTGTCTCACATGATTAATGCCTCAAAATTGTTGCTGCTGATGGAAATCTTTTTGGCAGCGCTCACATCATAATCGGTGCGGCTACATTTGGCGGCGTCAGTGGGCATCCAAGGAACGCTGTCAATCAGCCGCAGACGAGACCCCAGACCCCGGACACCGGACTGGAAGCGGCATAATTTGTTTTGACTCATTTTCATGCGCAGATCATAAATTTCCGAGGGAACTGGGGAACAGGGACTGAGACTGAGACTCAAGCTAGGTAGGCTCGTTCGCTCCCCCTATACCTAGAATGATGATGATGATTATGATGATGATGCATGTGGACAGGACAGGAGGTGGGCAGCTTGCATCGCCTGCATCTGCATAGAGTTGCATTGATTTACTATGTGAACACTTTATGGCTGTTTAAGTTGTTAAATTGAATTAAGATGAAATAAATTCTGTAGCAATTTTTATGTTTGTTAATAAATTTTGCATGCCCTGTGATAATTTGAACAGCTTCTGCCCGCTGATCATAAATTGCGAGCTTTATAGGCCCTCTAAAAATAATGCAGCGTGCAGACAATCGAAATAAATAATTCATACGAATGGCAGTGGATTCAGTGAATGTCGATGGGGATCCTGAGGTGGATGTGGCTATCTCTGAGCGCGGACATAGACGCACATCCTCGCCGGTGCATCCGACTCTCCCTCTCTGTTCAATCTGTGGCTCAGTTTGCTTTTTGGCAGCGCCCAAGGGAGCAACTACAAATGGACTCCACACACAAAGCTCTCCACCAGAGAGACGCGTCGTTGCGCGCATTGTATGGAGGATCAGAGAATCGGGGGTTCGGCTGGGATTGGATTGGTGTTTGGTGTTTGCATTTTAGATTTTTTCACACCTGAACGTGGCGGTGGGTCCGTTCAAAGCAGCCGCCGCCGGCAATCGCCTCCCAATGAAATGGCCAACCTGCCCATGTCTTTGGCACTTGATACAAGATTCACTCGCCGTAGCCGTCGCCGTCGCCGTCGGAGTCGGACTTGCACTTGGATCTGGAGTTGTAGTTACAGTCTTACAGCCTTGCAGTTTATCTAATGCCAGGGCAGCAGCTGTCGGGTCGGTGTCGAGGTCTTACCAAATTTGGCTTTTACTTTGGTTTGGCTTTGGCTTTGGGTTTTGTCCGATGCCTGGCGGCCAGCAAATTTGTCGTGACTTGTTAATGATACATTTCGCCAAATCGGCTTCAGCTTGAGGTCCAGGCTTGGGCCTGGGCCTGGCCAAGAAGAGCTTTCTGCCTTGGTCAAGTGTTGTCGCTTAAATGGTACATGGTGCCATCTTTGGTGCGTCCAAGTCACAAGTACTAAAGTACCTGCAGAGAGTACTACTTAGGATAGGGCCCATGATGCCCAGGCCCAGGCCCAGGACCAGAGTCGACTAAGCCATGTTAATCATGACTTGGCCGCTGGGGCCCTGGGGCTATCAGTTTTCATTGATTTGAATAGTTTTTCAACTCTTTTTCAATTTGCACACCCGGCCGAAGAAATATTCTTCGGACGGATTCTCGGACCATAGAAACAGCCGTCAGCATCATCTTGTTCGCTGCACAATTTACGAGCTTCGACCGCAGAGACGGCCTTTCGGGGAGCAGACCAAATCTCGACCTGTGATAATTAAACTGCGGCAGCAACAACAACAACCTGGACAAGAGTGAAAACAAAATGATTTACTGGCCCAACCTGCAGCCTCTTACATCCCATTGGCCGTGTCAGAGCTCAGTTTTATTTTTGGCTTTGGCCATTTTTAATCTCATTTGTCTTAGTCGCACCGTCGAGGCTCTGCCGCGGATGCCTCCTAAATAATGACCCTGTAATTATGTCTGCTTAAGCGGCAGCTGCTTCTCTTAACCAACGTCCAGTTCCAGCTCGAATTCGAGTTCCAGAACACATTCCCCAGTCATTATTCTTTGCATATTAGTACCCATAGTTCTCATAAGAACTTCAAAGAGACTGCTGCCATGTGGGTTCGTGGCGAGTCCGGAACCCATTAGCCGCTCGCTTTTATAGATCTTTTATAGGAATGCAAGTGCTTCGGTTTTATTATCGTGGTGAAGAGGTGTGAAAAGCTTCTTGAGAGTCAATGTGCTCTCAATCGAAAGATATTTTGCCGCAGGCACCCACCGAACCACTCGAAGCTCTAAATCATATTTTAGATCCATAAGATGATATCGCAGTGAATGGTGAGGGAGTGAGGGAAAATAGTCTGAAATTAGATTAGATAGAGATCGATGACGACTTGAGAAGAATAACAGGGGCTGAAAGTAGGTTTGGAAATCAAAATATTTTATTCCGAATTCGTGATGCATTTTGCTTTTTTTCCTGCCTTTCTAAATATCAAATACTTATTTTTCACAACGGAGGTGGAATAAGAATGATTCTAATATTCACTATTACTATTTTTCCAAATATATAACATATTTTAAGCTTATTTTGTTGATAAGATAAACGAATGACGCTGATTTCTCCATCCCGTTGAGATGATCACGTACAGTCCGCGACGTCCCCATAAGCATAAATCAATTTTGTGTGGCTTTTACTTGTTGCTTTTTGTGTTCCGTTTTTTCGGTGGAGAACACGTTCGGTTTTACTTTCGGTTGGGGTCTTTGGCATTTTTGCA